CCCAATTATCAACCCCCTTCTTAATCCCTTAGGACAAACTCACACAAGCACACAGACACACACACACACACACACACACACACACACACTGTCACCAACCACATGCTTAATCACACATACCAAGTCTCAGCTGTGAAATGAGGGTTATAATAGTACTCACCTATGAGGTTGTTGGAAGGATTAAATGAGTTACTTCTGTGAGGTTCGGCACCGTGCCTGGCACCTCCATGTGCTCATGTGTTAGCTACAGCTATGCTGGGTGTCTCTTGAGAAATTCCATTAAAAACTTCCCACAGCAAGCGACCTGGAATGGGAATATTTTTGAATGGGGAACAAGAGGCGCGACAGGTATTTACTGGGGTAGGAATGAAAGGAAGTGGGTTTTACAGACAGTCTGAAAGACTGGAATGAGAACCAGAACCCTGTGGGATTTCTGGGAAAGGAGGATATGTCCAAACACAAGAGCTGAATGAAATGTCTTAGGACAGTCACAACTCAGAAAGAACAAAACAAACACCATCTCATTCCAAGGCAAGTGGTGGACATGGTGAACTTTCAAGGACACAGGAGCTGTGGCTATAATTGAAAGGTGTTGAAAACTAGCTGGACTCACAGGGCTCATCCTGCTGGTTGTCGCTGCTGAGTTGGTGAGTGCAGAGGATCCTTGCTCCCTTCACCTGGAACTTCCAGAAACTTCTCCCAGTGTTCCCATTAATATTGCCCTACCTTGAGTCTTGAAATATGTCCCTGTCTCTCCCATTCTCTCTTATTCTCATTGGAACTATGTTGTTTTTCAATAGTTTGGGAATTTTTATTCACTAAGCAATACATGATTACATTCTTCTTGTAAAATTAGAACTTGATAACTAAGGCAAAAATCCATTCCACCCCTTCTGTGTTCCATTTTTGTCACAACTCTTCTCCTCTCACATAATTAGCAGTCTGTTTATCCTTCCAGAATTTTCTCTGTGCACACACATGCATCACTTAAAATATATATGTGACAGTATTTTGTTGTTGTTTGGCTTTTTTTCTCCTTTTTTCCCGTATAAATATTATGACACATTATTATTATTATTATTATTATTATTATTATTATTATTTTTATTTACTTATGATAGTCACACAGAGGGAAAGAGAGAGGCAGAGACACAGGCAGAGGGAGAAGCAGGCTCCATGCACCGGGAGCCCGACGTGGGATTCGATCGGGTCTCCAGGATCGCGCCCTGAGCCAAAGGCAGGCGGCAAACCGCTGCGCCACCCAGGGATCCCATGACACATTATTATTGTGCTACAGTTTGCTTTCCTCATACACTGTATGTGTTAGAAATCTGTCCATGTTAGCATTTTAAATCTACTTAATTATTAACCACTACACAATGTGGATGTTTTATGGTTTATTTGCTCACTTCTCCTCTCACCCATCCTTTCACTGCTACAGACAATGCTTCCTGAACATCCTTCACACATCTTGTGCACATGTGATTTTATATAGCTATGACAGAAATCTGGCAGTGGAATTATAGGTTTTTGGGGTATGAATGTCCTCTGCTGAATCTTAATCATAAATTCTCCATAGCCAGTTCCCTGGGGTCATTTCTTGTGACTCTCAGGTACCATATCGAAAGCACCAGCTTCCTACTGCCAACTCCCTAGTGAGTATCTCCACTCAGGCCCTTTGCTCGGTCTCACAGAAGAAAAGTGACATGTTTTGTCCCCAGGCCAGTCCCTCATGCCTTTCTCCCTCCCCACAGCCTCTCCTCTAGAATATATGCTCACATTCTCCCTGTTGCTCGAACATGGAAACCTTAATCATAGCTTTCCCTTCTCTCTCCCCAACATCTAATGAGATGTCACATCCTATGGATTTTTATCTCAGAAATGTCATTCAGTTCTCATTCCTTCTTTGGTTGTCTTTGGCTGGGATTTTTTTAAACAATCCCCTAACTAGTCTCCTTGTCTCCTTATGCAATGCAGTAACTTAATCTTCATAAAGCACAGGTCATGTCATTCTCTTGGATTGGTTCCTTCCTGAATACAAAATCTAGTAGGACCTCCCTGGCTTGCTATTCCCAGACTTCTAGTTTTGAACTCTTCAGATTCTTCCTTTTTCACCCTCTAGGCACACCGATCCCCTTGCATTTGCAAATGTACTTGTGTTTCTTGACTCCAGGACTTTTTTTCCATGTTTCTCTCCTAGAAGTCTCTTTCCAAGTTCTGCCTGTTGAAGGTCTACCATCCCTATTTGATCCTGTCAAACCGACGTGAAGGATGTGGATTCCAGTGTTCTTCTACAGGTGGCCAGTTTCTTAACTCTCTGACCATTGATTTTCTTTACTGTAAAAAGGATGACACCTTCTAGGTCTATGGGGGAACTTTTTCTTTTTTTTTTTTTTTAAGATTTTATTTATTTGAGAGAGAGGAAGCATGAATGAGTGCATACAAATAGGCAGGAGGGGCAGAGGGAGAGGAAGAAGCAGGCTCCCCATTGAGCAGAGAGCCAGACACAGGGCTTGATCCCCGATCCCCAATCCCCAATCCCTGGATCCCCAGGATCATGATCTAAGCTGAAGGCAGACATTCAATGACTGAGCCACCCAGGTGCCCCATATGGGGAATTTCTAATAAATGCATATAAAGCAATTAGCACAGTGCCTCTTACAAAGTAAATGCTAAATACATCTTAACTCTCACTGTTATCAAGTCTCTTTTATAAAGTGATGCTTAGTCTTGCTGCAAAGTGACTTTCTGCCTTCCTGGGCTTTCTCTATTCTGATGGTCATTTAGTCATTCTGTTATTTATGTACAAGTCTGTCCTCATACCTGATAATGACCCCTGAGGGGCAGGGATCCTCCTATTTATTTCTGCATAGTGTGCCAGCACAGTGCCTAGAACTGAATAGAACGTGGGGAGAAAATTTTACTGTTGTCAGCTTTGGAAGTACTGGGAAATGAAGCAAGCCAACTGTGTTGAAGACAGCTTTGAATCCCACCTTAGCACTCACTGGTTGGTGAGAATCTGTATATGTCACTTATTATCCTCACATCGTTTCCTTACCTAGAAAATGCAGAAAATATTAATATCTACCTCACAAGCTTGGGATGAGCTTATGTTCGCCAAAGAACTTTCTAGGTTTTTTGTTGTTTTTGTTTTTATTTTTGTTTTGTTTTGTTTTGCTTTGCTTTGCTTTGCTTTTAAACATTAGCATGTCTTCTCACAGTGGTCTGCTTCCCTCTTGTGGATAAAATTCAAACTGCATCTTAAACTCCTAACCTAGAAGCCAGGCGCTTATCCCAGCATTTAGATTACTGAAAAACTGAAAGCAAACCAGGCCTCCAAATAGGAGTTTGGCTAAATATATTGTAGCACATCCACGCGGAGAAATATAATCAAGCCATTTTAATATAATGAAATAGATGTTGATGGTGTACTGCTAAGTAAAACTCTAATTATAAACGTATAAACTATGCCCCATTTTTGTAAATACCTATACATATATGAAAGGATAACCCATTAAATGTTAATAGTGTTTACCCTGGCAGTGGAATTATCAGCTGCTTTTCACTTTCTTCTTTACAGTTGTATGTCCGATTTCTCACAATGAGCATGAATTACTGCTCTTAGAACACAGCTCCTTTAATTGTTGGGGAACCTGTCAGTAAAACCAGATACCCACGAGTTACCTGTTGTGACAAGCCAATCTGGGTCGGGGAGTACTCTGAGTCATGTTTTTAAAAAATATTTCATGCTCTGGTACAACGCATGCACAAACACAGTAAGCTAAGGCTGGAGTCAGCCCAAGATATGAGGACCTCAGAGAGTGGCAGTGTCAACAGGCATTTATCTGCTCCTTGGGCCTGCTCCAGGAGCTCAGGGCACAGCAAGAACCGCCTTGGGCAGAGGGGTGGAAATGTCCCTGGAGGAGGTGGCAAATGAGTGAGGTATGCATTTGTTCAGTGTTTACTCAGCATTTCTCAAAGATTCAAACCCTGAGGGCCATTTGACAGACATCCAGGACATATGAGGTCTATACAGTTTAAATTTTTTAAAAATCACTATATAAGACAAACTTTAAATGATAAAAAAGCAATACTCTCATATCAGAAGGAAGGCTGATGATAATGGTTTCAACCTTTAACCAAGGCCTGTATATCTGACTCCATGAGGGAAGGTCAGTTCTGCTTCCAGTTGTTTTTTTTTTTTTCTTTTTCTGTTTGCCATATTAGAAAGTCTGAACTTAAAACTGTACATCAGAAGTCACTCAGAAAACAGTATGGTGGTGCTTCCAAAAATTAAACATAGAATTACCATATGATCAAACAATTCCACTTCTAGGCTAAACAAACTGGAACCAGGGACTCAAACTTGTGCTCTTAATCACTGAGTTATACAACTTCCCTAAGTGTCCAGATAGTTTTTAAAACTTAAATGACAGAAACGGACATTTTAGTTAGTACCAGGGGGCAAGTGAAAATCTAAACGACAGCTACATTTGGTGGCTCTGGCGAGAATAACCGTTTATGGAGCCATGAGTATATGGGGCAGGCTAAAAAAAAGGCTTGGTACCTTTGGTGCAAACATCATTATTTACAAGATTTCCATGGCTTGCAGATATTATCTTGATTCTTCAATGTTTGGACAGAAGAAGGGCAGGAGGAAACTGCAAAATAAACTCTGGAGTATAGGCCAAGTCTGCTGCTTACACAAGTCTGTGACTTAGAATTCTGAGATCGCACTCTGTTTAATGGAAATTAGGTTCCTTGTGCTCCTTCTCAAGTGTTTAGGAAGGGCTCCAGGACTACAGCACCTCCTTGTGCATGGGGAACGGGTGTGCTTTCCTGGGGGGATCCCCAAGCCACTTGGGCACCGGTGTGGAGGAGTTAGAGGGCTGGACTAGGTCAGTACAAAAACCTCTGTTTAGGTGCTGCGGAGGACCTGCTGTTGACCCGCAGGCCTCGGTCGCTCCCACGCTCTCCTCTACCCCAGTGAAGACGTGGCCATGGCGCTCCAGGTCACCAGGAACACAAAAGTTAATGTTGAAAATAAGGCGAAGATAGGTATGGCAGGGGCAAAGCCGGTGCCTCTGGCCTTTGCTGCAGCCTCCAAGCCCCGCCTGAGGCCAAGAACTGCTCTGGGAGACATTGGTAACAAAGTCAGTGAACAACCACAGGCTAAACTGCCTCTGAAAAAGGAAGCAAAAACTTCGGTTCCTGGAAAAGTCATTGCTAAAAAAATACCAAAGCCTTTGGAGAAGGCACCCAAGCCTGTCCCCTATACCTGTGCCAGAACAAGAGCCAGAACTTGAGCCAGTTAAAGAAGAAAAACTTTCACCAGAGCCTATTTTGGTTGATACTCCCTCTCCAAGCTGGATGGAAACATCTAGATGTGCCCCTGCAGAAGAATATCTGTGTCAAGCTTTCTCTGATGTAATTCTTGAGGTGAATGATGTAGATGCAGAAGATGGAGCTCATCCAAACCTTTGTAGTGAATATGTGAAAGATATTTATGCTTATCTGAGACAACTTGAAGAACAAGCAGTCAAACCAAAATACCTACTGGGTTGTGAAGTCACTAGAAACATGAGAGCTATCCTAATTGACTGGCTAGTACAGGTTCAAATGAAATTCAGGTTACTGCAGGAGACCATGTATGTGACTGTTTCCATTATTGACCAGTTCACACAGAATAACTGTGTGCCCAAGAAGATGCTGCAGCTGGTTGGTGTCACTGCCATGTTTATTGCAAGCAAATATGAGGAAACGTACCCTCCATAAATTGGTGACTTTGCCTTTGTGACTGACAACACTTATACTAAACACCAAATCAGACAGATGGAAATGAAGATTCTAAGATCTTTAAATTTTGGTCTGGGCCGCCCTCCACCCCTGCATTTCCTTCGGAGAGCATCTAAGATTGGAGAGGTAGATGTTGAGCAACATATTTTGGCCAAATACCTGATGGAACTATCTATGTTAGACTACGATATGGTGCACTTTCCTCCTTCTCAGATTGCAGCTGGAGCTTTTTGCTTAGCGCTGAAAATTCTCGATAATGGTGAATGGACACCAACTCTACAGCATTATCTGTCATACACTGAAGAATCCCTTCTAAATGTTCTAAAGAATATAGTCATGGTGAATCATGGGCTTACAAAGCACATGACAATCAAGAACAAGTATGCCACCTCTAAGCATGCTAAGATCAGCACTCTGGCACAGCTAAATTCTGCAGTAGTTCAAGATTTAGCCAAGGCTAAGATGTAACTTGTAAACATGCATTGGAATATTGATTCAATACTCCAATTCAAGATTTAGCCAAGGCAAAGGTGTAACTTGTAAACATGCATTGGAGTATTGTAATATCTGCAAATAATATCTGCAAATATTGGCACCATGTGCCATCTATATATATTACCTTTACTTACTTTTAATAAAACTTGTGGTCCTTTTTAAACAAAACAAACAAGCAAAACCTCTGTTTAGGGACACCTGGGTAGCTTAGCAGTTGAGCATCTGGCTTCGGCTCAGGGTGTGATCCTAGGATCTGGGATCAAGTCTCACATCAGGCTCCTTGCAGGGAGTCCACTTCTCCTTCTGCCTATGTCTCTGCCTCTCTCTGTGTGCGTCTCTCATGAATAAATAAATCTTTAAAACAACAACAACAACAACAACAACAACAAACCCCCCTCTGTTTAGACCTGGCTATTGTGCAATTTTCTTCCCTAGCTGACAATCTCCAGATGGGGGCAAAATCTGGGGAAATTCAGTATTTGTTTGGGATCTTCCATTTGGGTTCAGAAAGTGAGTAAAACCCTGTGGAGAAAGTGCATATGGTTTCCCTTCAGCTGTATAGCAGAAAAGTTCTTGGGATAGATAACAAATTGACGACTGGGCCCTCAGAACACTTGTCTGAGGGTACACTGAAGATACCTAGTGGGTATCATTCCAGGCTGTTCCCCCTTCATGCCTCTAAAGCCTGAATTTTCGAACCTGTTAGATGATAATAAAAATGACACAACTTGGGCAGCCTGGGTGGCTCAGCAGTTTAGCGCCGCCTTCAGCCCAGGATGTGATCCTGGAGACACGGGATTGAGTCCCACGTCAGGCTCCCTGCATGGAGTCTGCTTCTCCCTCTGCCTGGGTCTGTCTGTCTGTCTGTCTCTCTCTGTCTCTCATGAATAAATAAATAAAATCTTTTAAAAAAATGACACAACTTGAGATTTCCTTTCAGGGATAAGACATCAAGCCTATCACAGTCCACCTGCCCTCCTTCCATTACATTCTCATGTCACTGCTCTCCTGATTCTCCTATACTCCCTTCACTCTCAACACCAGGAGACCACGTTCCTAGTCCTTTACTGAGAATGTCTTGTGCCCACCTGGTAGAACAGGTGTTTCTCCTATTCTTCAATCTTGTTCCTCTTTTGAACATCAGTCTTAATAGGAGTCAATGGCTCACCAATCTGTTTAGAAGGTACTTGGAGAGTGAGGTGAGGTTACTGTGGAATGGGCCATCAGCTTCTTCTTCTTATATCTAGACACATGTGTTCTATAAAGGCTAAATGTACAGTGAAGATCCCAGATTTCAAGGCCTGGCTCATTCTTGGGTCTGAGAATATCCTTCTTTCTCTCTCCTTTACTTCAGAGGAAGGCTGTGGTTGGGAATGCTGGATCCCCCTATGAGACTTCAGAACACAAAACAGACATTTACGTTGAAAATTGATGAAACAAGGGAAGGAAAACAGAAGAAAGGGAAAGGCATGAGCAGGGTAGTAGAGGACTGGGGAAGCTTTGGAAATATTTTGACAAAGTAAATGAGTTATCTTTGTAAAGTGAATTATGGAATTAAATCAGTAATTTAAAAGCTCTAGAAAACAAAAAGTACTAGGCCCAGATGGCTTTACTGGTGAATAATAGTAAGCATTTAGGGAGTAAATAATACCAATTATTCATGACATATGTATATGCCAGCTTTTATTTATCATTCATCAGTTTGTAGACAGTTAGGCTCTTTCCATTTTTTGGCTACTATGAATAATGCTGCTATGAACATTTGTGCACCAGTCTTTATGTGGGTATATGTCTCCACTTCTCTTAGGGTAAATACCTAGGAGTACAATTAATCTTTTGAGGAGCTGTCAGACTGTTTTCCAAAGCAGCTGCTTTTTTTACATCACTATTAGCAAAGAAGTATATGAGGGTTCCAGTTTCTATATATCCTTTCCAACATTTTCTCTTGTCCATTTTTTCAATTACAGACCTACTAGAGGGTGAGATGGTATCTCATTGTGGCTTTGCTTTGTATTTTCCTCATGGCTAATGGTGTTCAGCCTCTTTTCATGGCTTTATTGGTCAACTGTGTATCTTCTCGGGAAAAGCATTTATTCAGATCCTTTATCTATGGGTTTGTTTGTTTTTTTTTAAGATAGAGAGCATGTATGCAAGTTGAGTGGGGTGGAGGAGCAGAGGGAGACAGAGAGTCTTAAGCAGGCTCCATGCCCAGCATAGAGCCTGATGAAAGGCTCGATCTCATGACCCTGAGATCATGACCTGAGCTGAAACAAGAGTCAGAGGCTTAACTAACTGAACCATCCAGGAGCCCTCCTATATCTACTTTTAAGTTGGATTATTTTTCTTTTCAATGGGAACTCTGTATATTCTAGATACAAGTCCCTTATAATCTATATAATTTTCCAAAATTTTGTCCGATATCTACTTGCTTTCTTTTTTTTCTACTTGCTTTCTTGATAGTGTCCTTTGAAGCACAAAATTTTTATTTATTTTTATTTATTTTTTTTTCACAAAATTTTTAAATTTTTATAATACCCAATTCATCTTTTGTTAAACTTTGTTTATTATGCTTTTGGCGTCATATTTAAGTATCCATTGTCTTATGCAAGGTTATGGAGATATGCCAGATGAGCTGTCACTAGACTGGGGATTATAAGAACTTAATTTCAGAAGTAGCAGCATTTATATCTGTGTTAAAGTTCATACCTTACATGTTAAAACCAAAGGCAGGTGAATGAAAGTCTTAATAATGAAGAAATTTCAAGGGAGTAGATAAAGGAAGTAGTGGTCTTGATCTCCCCACCCCATCTCATGCACCTTACATTTTCTACTTTCATCTCCAAGCTAGTAAATGCTTCTGACTCTCCTGATCAAATAAGCTTCCTTTTCCCTCGTAAGTTCTGGTACATCAGGGTTTTAGGTTTATTTTATGCTTTTGTCAGGCAACCAAGAAGATATTACTATTCTTGGTCTGTGTGTTCAGGTTCAAAAAATAAGCCACATGAGTAAAAAACCTTTCTAATTAGTAAGTGAAAATTCTTTTTATTGTTAAATTGTTGGATTATGTGAGTTCTCTAGTACCACCTGGACAAAATTCTGTTGACTGTTTCCATGGTGCTATGGTTTTAAGATTATAATCCATTGGTGGTTTAGTTGTCAAAGAGGTTACAGGCAGCCTCACCCTCATCTTTGGTCTCCTGTGTCTGGGATTTCAGATGTGGCTGGCTGGTATTTCCAAGCCAAGTGATACCTTCTTAAAGAAAGTAAACACAGCCCACCTGTGGGTCCATATGACCTACTTTGTAAGGAAAAGACAGCCACGAAAACCATCCTTATGCTCAATAAGGTAGGCAAGTTCCCGTGAGGAGAGAGGACATTTAAAAAGTACCTTGGGTCAGTTTTTTTTTAAGAAAGAGAAGCAGTCCATTGGCTACTAGGCTTTGATGCCTGGTGGAAAAAGAGGCAAATATGGAAGGAGTGGTCAATATGTCCCTACAAGGAACCTATCTTAGAATACAAGGTGGTGACTCTTTTCAAGGGTCAATGCTGAATGATAGTATAACTCCCTGGAAGAGAAGAGAACTCAGCAGAATTCTGTCCTGCAGCCAACCAGGGTCGAAAGGAATACTGGGAGAGAAAGGGATATACATCTGGGTCTTTCATCAGGGTTTGTCTTACTCAAGGGAATTTGCTGTTCTATGAAGTGAACAGAGGGTAAGACCCTTGGCTTCAAAATGTTTCTAAAATCACTCTAATCCCAGACTCATGGTATCCACCCTGCTATATTTCCCCTGCACACCCTCCATTAACATGTGCATTCCATCTGCTAAACTAACAGAAATACATTACAGAAAACCTTTCTCATGTGTCTCACCTAAATACATCATTCTATCCTTGGAACATCCCTCCTTCAGAGCGTTACTCAGACTTCATGCCATTCTTCACTCCATCTTCTTCTCCGGGTATATCGTGTTCAAATCTTCATACACTTAAGTCTTCCCAATCCTGCTAATTCTGTCTTTTTCCATCATGCCCTGTGTATAGAGAGGTTTCAGGATGCTTCCCAGATAATTTTTTTGAAAAATAAAAAAATTTAAATTTAAATTCAATTAGCCAAGTAATTCACGTGGCCAAGTAATTTCTATTAAAGAAAAAGGAAGGGGGCCAGAAACCTCTTACCTTGCCTTGTTGGTTCTAAATTTTGTTCCACTTCATGGGGCTTCCTCAAGAACTTCTAGTGGATGATTTCATTTGCAGAGAATACCATTTGTGGATTCTCCAGCATGCAGACTGACAGTCAAGTTTTTATATAGGTTTGATTCCATTATTTGAAGTAGTTTCCCTGTTATTAACATATTATATTCTATGGTACATTTGTTGCAATAAATGAACCAATGTTGATACATTATTATTAATTAACTGAAGTCCATGCTTTATCCAGATTTCTTTGGGTTTTATCTAATGTCTTCTTTCTGTTCCAGGATTCCCTACAGGATACTACATTACATTTAGTCATCATGTCTCCTTATGCTCCTTTTGGCTGAGGCAGTTTCTCTGACTTTCCTTGTTTTTATAACCCTGACAGTTTTGAAAAGGACTGGTCAGGTACTTTGTGGGAAATCCTTCTACTGAGATTTTTCTGATATTTTCCCCATGCTTAGACTGTAGTTATGCATTTTAGGGAGGAAGATGACAGAGGCAAAGTACTACTTCATCATATTATAGCAAGGGTACATGATATCAATATAACTCATCAGTGTTGACATCAACATTGATCATCTGAGGTAGTGTTTGTCATGTTTCTCCACTGTAAAGTTACCATTTTCCCCTCTCTACATCATCCACTTTGGAGGTCATTATTTACAGCAAACACTTAAGGACTGCGAAGCTATGCTCTCCATTCTTGAGGGCAGAGTTTCTACTGGTTTTTAAACTACCTGTTATTTCCTCAGTGGTTGCTCTAGGGCTT